TTAAGGCCGTTCGTTAGGCCGTCCTAACATAGTAGGCCTTGGCCGCCGTGAGGGTAGGTGGGAACGCGACGAAGACGCGTCTGCTGTGATATGGTCGGATGGCCTTGGTAGCGAAGTCAGCGGCACTCTTATCTTTCAGTGCTTTTAGTTGTCAACGTATGCTCAGAGCAGGGTCTCCAAAACAGGCGTTGTCGTTGTTGTTCTAAGGTCCGGAGCTAGGCCACATAGGTGCGTGACAAGCAGAAAATTGAAGTCTCAGTGGATGAACGCTCGGTTACGGGGCTCCCTTTCCTTTGTCGGTAATGTGCTCACGGAGGGGCCAGTCCATCTGTAGTGACTCCCGCCGCTGAGTTGTTACCAAGGCCGTCAGCAAAAAACCCTCACTCATCTCTTCGAACGCAAACCTCTAAGCATTCAACAATATTCCTCGGAATTCCTAACGCTGGCGCGCGTACAGAGAGCTGTTGAGTCGTGGCTGATTGATATGCTTACGAGGAGCAGAGAAGTCACCGAGATTCGCCTTATCGCAGCCTGCATATTGCCTATTCGCCTTTACTTATCATACTTAATGCTGTCAGTAAGCTACAGTTTATTTTGGAGCAAAGTTGTCTTCTCCGAAAGCACGTGTCTCTACAGACGCTTAAGAATCATTTTGATTCTGAGCCGGATCGAACGCGTCACTATCGAAGAACCTTGTGTATATTTGACTTGCCAATGGCTTAATGGTTATGTAATACGTATTTTTAAAACGCTGGCTACCGTCCTAAGCCTTCCTTGTTTAATCCGATCTCGGCCGGACTGTGAGCAACGGTGTGGTCCGTGCAAATTGCCCAGGTAGCTGAAAATTGCGACAGTAAAATCCGGCAAATATGTTGGTCATAATAATGTTTGTGATTATGTTAGTCAATACCCGGAACCACAGCCACCTGTTCCCCAAACCTTTTTATCTCTGGGAATTTCGTTCCTGCAACCTCGCTTGAGCTGGGATGGTATGTGTCAGTACTTTCAACCGACCATGGTGAAATCAGGAATGTATTTTTTTACTTCTATTTTCCTCTATCGTTTAGCATCCGAAAACGAGGCTTCCACTTCGGAGTCCTCTGTCGCCTTCGAGCACCCCTCCTCCTCCCTGGCGGGTGATAGGATCGACGCAGAAGGTGCAAAGACTGCTGATGTGGACCCCGGGGATGCAGAGTCACAGGACTCCGAGACACCCTTTGTTACCCCACGCGGTGGCAGCCATCATCCTGGACTCTCCGATCAGTCGGAGAGTGAGGAAGCGGATGCGGAGAAGGAAGAAGAAGACCGAGTGGTCCCAACGCCACAACGAGCGCCCCCTTCACGCAAGGTTCCTGTGACCTTCTATGACTCCATGCCTACAATAAGCCTGCCGCCGGGCCACCTACCCCTCTACGCCTCCTGGGCCATCCATACACTGGGAAAGTATTTTAGCTACTCCCACTCCTCTGGTAGGGCTACTTTTTGAGGGGGCACCCCTTTCTAGCTGCTTTCCTGAATTACTTTCTACTTAATTCTTCAATAATTGAGATGCCCTTTATTGCACTCTGATTTTGAGCCTTGTAAAGACCTCTTTTTTCTAAAAGATCATCGTCGGCGAAATTTTTTATCGCGTCACTCCCGACTGTTTCTTAAGTTACAACCATCTTGAACTTTCGCGTAACCGTTTTTTTCGGCAGAAAGGACAAACGGAAACTATGCACACCAAAACTCAGGGGACTTGGAGCTAGCAGCTTTCGTGAGGATTGGCGTTACTGCCAATACAAGCGAAAACGGCAGTCCCAGAAATTAATTGAAAAGAGTTAGATGCGATCACTGGGTTAATAACGTTATTCGCCTGATAGCATCAGTTACGGGAAATTCATACACATGGAAATACAGTATTTGTAGGATAAAGTCGCTATGCTACCGCATACCTGTGACAATTGACAACTGTCCCCTTCATCAAGGCTGGTTGCTCGGTAGTGTGATAGCTGCTTGATGATCCGTCTCCGGACTGTTAATCTTTGCTATTTTATCAGCCGTGTTGAATGCTGGCGTGAGGATGGCTCGACCATCTGGTTCACCAACATTGGCATTGGAAACCGTAGTCGTCCACGCGCTCCCCGAGGAGCTACTTACTTTGGCCAAAAGGGGTCTTAGTCTCGAATATGAAGCGGGGAGGGGGGGTTATTGCACCTGCTAGTAGCCTGGGGGTCCGTGAACTACTACTCAAGCTCACGCGATTTTCACCTCTTGTGAGAATTTCGGTCTCGCCAAGCTCGAATCTATGGCCCGGTCTCGTTCGAGGAGCCATGACTTGAGATTTTTCCGCACCGCTTCTCCCTGTTTGACCATTTGTGCCCAAAGCAGACCTCTGTATGAACTACCCGTGTCTGCTGATGGATTCGAACATGAATCCGAAAAGTCGGGCGGATAAAGTGCCTGTCCCATCAATTACGTCTACTTTTCCTCGGTCCGTTTTATGTTAATAAGAAGGCGCTGATGACATAAGACATTTTTTGGAAATGAAGAAAATTTGTTGACGCATCCTTTTCAGCGGTCAAACAATAATTATAAGCTATATTGCTCCACAAGCGATAGAAATTCTCATCGATGGTTAGAGCGGAACGAGCAGTAAACCAAGTCCAAGCAGACTTCCTAAATGTGATTTTAAGACCTCAACTTGAAGATGCCCGATTCAATCGTCAGTGCAGAGAAGATGGCCCTGGAAGTACCATTCTTCAAAGTTACACAATGTCTTCTTCTCTTGATACTCCCTCACATCCCAGTGAACTCTCGCAAATCACACAGCGACAGTTGCGCATCAAGAATGTGCGGAGGATAACACACCTGCAAGAAATGCACCGGATTGAATCCACTGTGAGGACCTTTGTTATTGAATTGCCGTGCCATTTCATATAAGATGACAAGTGTATAAGCTCGACGTCCATTGAATTTTTCTCGGTCAGGATTTGTAAAGGGAGCGCCTAAAGGTTTGATTGATCGTTTTCTTAAACCAGTACTCCTTTATGCACTCCTTTTTTAAACGAATGCGTCCATTTAAATTACGTCTAAATCTTTTTCTGGCGTGAGGCATTACGAATTTAATGTCTGTAGCTATAGTACTGGAATGCAGCGAAAGTCTTGCTGTTTGATACACAGCTACTTGCATACTGTAGCAGTTTTTGTGCCGCTGGCTTCAATTTAGTTTATTTAAGGGAAATTCATGTGCGTGCACCTTTGAACTCCCCCTCGGTTACGCGCGGCGGAAGTATGCCAAAAAATGCGAAGGTGGAACATCAAACAACCCCGAAGGCAATACGAAACAAATGTACATACTACTTCCAGCGTTAGCACCACTCACGGACGTATATGCGCATGTAGGTGCGTAATACGGTAGTTACTTTAGACACGTGCCCCCTAAATAGGCCGTGTGATAAATGCATTTGACCAAAACGGGGGCCATATCAGCAGGTGCAGCAGGTGTTATTTGGGTTGCGCTCCCACAAAAAATACCGAACATGGGGGGTATGTGGTAGCATGCATATGTGCAGCCTTGGTCACGCCAGTAACCTGCGCTCGATTCCGCACGCAATCTTTTTATTTCTCTTTTGACACCAGATACACGTGGGTGAGGGAATAGGAGGTGCGGTAGATGCTACGCAAGTCTACTATCAATTAAAACAAATTCACGCGCAAGTCACTGCGGTTGCCTTCAGTTTCCTGGAGCA